CCTTCGTCATGTCACAGCCAAATAAATTGTGACATGACGAAGGCCACTTGGCTGCGGTCGTCTCGAATTTGAGCCATCGCGATAGCGATGTCCATTTCTTGCTGCCAAAACGCAAGTTTTTCTCTTCGTTTCCGTAAAAGCTTTTTACCTCAATTTTCATGGGACGTTCAGTGTGTACCGACGGTCTCATGCCCACTTGTTGTGGTAGTGACAGAGCTGGCGTCGGTATAAGAATCACAATAATCCTTGCTCATACGCCGCATAATTTGCTAAGCGCTGAGTTATCGCTTCTTGATCCAATTGAAGCATATCGAAGACGGCGTGATTAATGCTCGCAGCTACACCACACACTTCTACTGCAGGTAGGTTAGGAACAAACACCCGTGTTGATCCGAGCGCGATCACCGCCTGTGGTGTCCTCAATATCCATTGATGATCCATTAAAATAGTCGACTTTGGAATGATTACAAGTGCTACCAAGTGCAACGGGAATTTTTTTATCCGTATACACGCACTCTCTGAGAAAGATTCTAATCAGTTAGCACGCTTCACGGCGTGTCGCTCCCTTTCAGCAAGCCCTTGATTCGCGCGAACGAGGAGGAAAAAGTGAAGCTACATTTATTATGACCAATAGACCTTAAACCCTCCCTAAACTCAGAAGTACCTCAGATTCCGATAAAACAAAATTATTGGAATACACAACTACAAGATATTTAGTTGTTGTTAACCACACATAGAAGTATGTGGCTCACACAACACATGTAATGAGACTAAACCCATTACAATAAGAAAGAGGCAAGGGAACTATATCACGGTCTCGAGAGTGTATTTTTGCTTTAACTGGAATGCAGGACTGAATGTTGTGGTTTCCAGTATGTGTTTCTGGTGGGGTGGTAATATTCGACCACATGCTAGGGTCTCCTATTCCAGAGCCTGTGAAATTTTTAGTCAGGTGTATGTCGCAAAAATAACACAGCCCTTAGTTTTTTGCAAATAGCTCGTCCTTGTCACGATGTGATGGTACCGCCAAGTCAGCACTGCCGTGGGTTTGGTCAGAAGTGACCTCCACATGTATATGATGAGAAAAATTTATACTGTGATTGGAGTGACTAGTTGGTCACAGGGTTTGTAAGTCTCTCTTCCTATGTTGAGTAGTAACCTATGTTGGGCTTGAGGATTTACTCCAGGGGTGTTTGCAAGAAGCTACACAGCAATGAAGCTACAAAAAGGTACAATTATTTAAGGAGAAAAAGGTGAGCCTATCATTCGTCATTGATGAGTCCGCATGAGGACACTCGCAGATCACTATGTTTGAACAGCTCATTAACATTAAAAGGCATTCAGACGTGATGAGAAGAGATCCACCACGCAAGTTGCACCTGAAAAATGGAGTGCGCTTGAAGTTGAATCGTTTCTTGAGACCAAATACTGATTTATACTTCAATGACTCGTACTCAACAGAGGGTTAGCGTGATGCTGTCGACGTTTTTTCTGCGCAGCACGATGTGACGCTGGTAAGCGAGATAAACTGCCTTGGCTCCAACTTTTTATGTCCATCAACATAATAAGCTGGTAGACCTTCAGCAAAACAGAGCCACTATTCTGGTGGGAATGCTAAAATCGAGAATGATTGTGTTGCAAAACAGTATGGTCATTTCGATCAGTTTCTTGTGTTATGACTACCAACAGCGATATCTTTCTGACCGCGGTGATTGTTCTCCAGGATGCTTAAAGAATAATTATATAAACCACAAAGACTATCTGACGCACCAACGTTAGTCAATCACTTGATGACCCAGCTGTTCCGACTGCAACGTGGCTATGCACAAGCCTATTTTGACGATACATTCGTCCATCGTCGTCTAGAGCACGAGAATTTGAATGTGAAACTAGCAACAAACAAATGCGAGTAAGGCATGAGTGTGTGCGCTAGATAAGCTACTTGCCAATATCAACGAGTGTATCTTTGGCGCTCGCAAGTTTTGTTTTTGTATTTGATTTATTGAGAAGCAGAGCTTGCAACTAAATTCTGTAAAGTAGTGTTGAGGCGCGACAGAAGGAGAGGACCCCAAGGCTGTGATAAAAAGCCTCATCCGTGCTCAACATTGGGTCTTCCGATTCTAGAACGGACAATTTAACTCGTCCCTAATACTTAAGCCTTTGCAAAAGGCTGTTCATTAATTCATGAAGGTGCCAATGGGCATAATCGCGTAATCGCGTTTGATTTCCATCAGATCAAAGCGGTAGAAAGGAGCTAATCTCTTCATGAAAACGAGATGCTGCAATGAAGTGAACCCTTGACAACCATAAGCTGTCGCATGTTACGATGGTGACAACGTATCTTTACCAATTGGTGAGATGATATGTGTAATGTACGAGTCAGATGCAACATATGTTACGTTGCTGAAAGCTTTGGAAAGAAGTAATTTACAAACTCAGAGACTGCGTTTTCAAAGCGTTGCATTGCCCGTGTACACCATTCCAATTTCTAATTTATCATAGCACTTATCTACTAAACTCTCAGCATGTGGTGGTGCCTCATGATTAGGACCTGTAGTTCATAATGCTGTACAAGACACACAATAATTCTTTGGGAAAAAGAAAGATATACTGCTCAGTGAGGGTATCTACAGGAATTATTTGTGAAGCGAATTAAATATGTGTACGCACGTGTAAAAAGTGTCAACTGATGGCAAGCTTTCTTTGAGTATTGAGCACCTGACTGTACTATTCCACCGGTGATAGTCCACAGACAGATGTTCAGACGGAGTCGGGTATAAACTACTCTCCGAAGTACATGCGCGA